ACTGTGTGCATGCGTGGAGCCCATGGAGGCCAAGAGAGGGCATTGGATCCCTAAATCTGGAGTTACAAATAGTGACCAGCAGTTGTGTGGTGCTAGGATTCAAAATTGTGTCTTTTGCCAGAGCAGCTCTACCCTCTGAATAACATCTCCAGCCCTCTGTTTCTTCTAGAAGACTATTTTCTGTAATTGTATTATTCCATATACTGCATTTTCTTTGTTTCCAAAGAAACATGTTATAACTATGACAAAAGTAGGTCATTCTGCATGAAGGGAGAGTCTACTTACAAATACTTACCCCTAGCAAATACTTGAGGCCCCACTCTGGTTGAGGTGCTATATGGACTTGAACTCATGTTTATAAAATAAAATAAGAAGGAACATATAGGTAAGAGATAAATATTTAATATATAAATCTATAATCTGTGGAACATACTGTAAAAACTACAAACATTGTAAGAGATCATTGCCCACTAATATAGGCAGGTCTATACTATATTACATGAGAAACACTTGGAGGTGGACAGGAAAGCTGAGATCATGAGGACCATTGTATGCAAAGCAGGTGCAAACACTGCTGAACTGAATGAAATACAACCAGGAAACAAATGTCTAGAATAACCTTCTGCCAGTTAAACCAAAGAAATGTTGTGGGAAGCACAGTGAAACACTACAGCAGTATCAGTAACATAGCAAAGAGCTTTGTAGGTTTTTTGTTTGTTTGTTTTTCTTGGCTTGTTTATTGAAGGGGAGGCTGTTGGGGAATGAATGCAGTGTCTCATATATGCTAGGCAGTACTCTGCCACTAAGCTATAACCCGAGGCCTTACATTGTCTTCTAAATAACATAAAAAGAGATTTGGCCTCACTCAAAATTGCAGAGGGGAGAGTATCTGCCTCCATCCTGATGCAATGATCTGAGCTCAATTCTTATAATTCACAAGGTGGAAAAAGAGCACTGATTCTTTCAAGTTGTCCTTCAAACTCCATAGGCGTTCCTTGGCGTACACACACACAGACACACACACACACACACACACACACACAGACACACACACACACACACAGACACATACACACACAAACACGTAGAAGTCATTTTTTTGAAACTAAGACAAAAGCAAATAAAAATACTAAGGTATTATTTCTTATAATTAGGTTGACAAAATTTAATGACAAGGGTAACAAAGTAATATCAGAAATTGAAATCATAACATTAATACCTGCTTGTTTATTTTGTCATAAAAACAGTGAAAAGAGATATACAAAAGCAGTCTAGGGAGGTAGCTCAGTTTTCTACTTAGCCATATTACACTTAATTGCCTTGTCAATCAGTTTATGGTATAGATACTAGACATGTTAGTACCTCTAGCACCTGAAACTAGTTCCTCTAATCAAGATATCCCAGAAATAAAATCTTATGAAAATGAAATTAAAATTTAAATGCTTGTAAGAATATACTAAAAGTGTAATAAATTTTATCACTAGTATTAATTTATTGAAAGTGAACAATGCCAAGTATGTATGCATGATTGTCAATAAATTACAAATATGCATATCAAAAAAGAATATACAAAAAGAAAATTGTGATACAAAAAAATATAAAATTACACCGAGTATCCTATTAAGCCCTACCAAAAGTAATGCAATCTTCCCAAGATTGCTTTAGTCTGGTTAACGAATCAACTTTTCTTGCATAACAAAAACTATAAAATAGAAGCATAAAAAGGTGGTTTACAGGTTGCTGCCCGAAAGCACTAAGTTTATATTGAATTGATATTAGTGGGTGAATGTCTCATATAGAAGGAATGCATTTTTGAAAGGTATTACCTTCTTAATTGAGTAAACAGTTAAAACTTTTTTACGTTTATACAAAGAAGGTATCTTTTTATTTATTAGAAGGTCACTGTCATTAATTTGCAATTGATGGTTTTATAATAGGTCCTTCTGGTTCTTGATGGTTATTATCAACATATAAGGCAGTGACGATATGGCCTGTACAAAGGCAGGACAGGGGTCTTAATTAGAACTCTGACAAGCCCACTGCAATAAAATGATGAGATTATCCATAATTGATGTCACAATCCATTACCACTTAGTTCATCATGAGCGTTCTAATGGGTCTGGCCTTGGAACTGGCCTCAGGATGTTGCTGACTGGCTGCCCTGCTTATGCTGTTATTACAACAGGAGGGCACATTTTCAGTCAGCAGCCTAATGACCTCTTTTGAAGTCTATTAAATTAATGACACTGCCACACTGTTTTCATTTCTTACAACCTTAGTTTGAGGTTTCTACAAACTAATGTTTGGGAACCATATAATAAAGAGCTCTTGTAAAATATGGAAACCTTTGATAGTTACAATAAGAAATGAACAAATTAGCAATTCTTGTGACACATATAAAGGAAGACTTTAGAATATATGCTCTACTTCCAAATATAGTCTTTTTTTACATAGTGTTTGTGTAGTCCAAGCTAGCTTTGAGTTTATGACCCCTACTTTAGTCTCCTGAATGTGAGGGATTCTAGGTACACACCACAGTCTGGGCCTTTAAGGGTGTATGTTTAGTGACAGGTTTTCTTGTTTCTAAAGGGCCTGATTGTTTTTACTAATCCCAGGTGCCAACAGGTCATGTTTGGTTAGAAGGTGACAACTTAGAGAATTCTACAGACTCCAGGTACTATGGACCTGTTCCATATGGACTAATACGAGGACGGATCTTTTTTAAGGTATGCTTTAATGCCTAAAATGCCAGTTTTATTCTCTGGGTCGAGGAGTTGTTCTCTCAAATTGCTAAGTTTAATTTTTTAATTTTTTCTGCTAAGTTGACTTAACTGGTGCAGTGAGTACATTTGATGACCATTTTTTAAGAGCTATAGACAAAATAGTATCCTCGCCCCTTCCTGCTCCTATGGGAAATAACAGAAGGTTTTAGAATAATATCCAAACTAAACTAGTGGTAGCCTAGGGAGCCTTTGAGTTTATAGAAATCAAATTCTGTCATGTGACTTTTACAGCCATATTCAGATCTTGGCATTTCAACGAGTATTTCTACAACAGCAGCCCAGGCTTGGTCTACTTAGAATGCAGGCGGACCACGTCAAATACAGCAAACCATAGGCAGGCATATGGCTGTAATGAATATACATGCCTTGGATGATATTGTCCCATCTTCAGTGGTTCTTCCATTATTGACTGATGTAATTTTGTTTTGAGACAGAATCTTACTTTGTATTCCAGGCTGGCCTTAAACTCTCCACCCTGTCTGTCTCATAAGTGTTGGTGTCATGGGTGTGGATTATAGGTGTGTGTCACCACATCTGCCCCCCTTTTACCAAAAAGCAAGTATATAATGTTCAGGATTCTTGTGTGGGGGGGGTTCAAAATGGGGTTTCTCTGTAGCTCTGGATCCTGTCCTAGAAACTAGCTCTTGTAGACCAGGCTGACCTTGAACTCACAGAGAGAACTCCCTAGTGCTGGGATTAAAGGCATGCGCCACCACCACCTGACTAAAATTCTTTTATACCTAAACAGATGCCATATTCAAACAACTTTTTTAAAGTATCAGGTATCATAGGCTGGTAGTGTAACTTATTTGAGAATGGTAAAAGAAGACAGGACTTCACAAATCTCTACAGATACACCAAACGTGGTTTCTGGTACTATGTTTGAATGTTCCAGGCTACATACATACAGAAGTTTATTTTCAGAGTAGCCTATGAGGAAAATGCACTGTATTATCTCACAGAGAGAACAGGAAAAGAGAACGTCAAGATGGTAAAGAAGTTTCATTAATTGGCTTCCACTGTATTTTCATTTTACAGATTTGGCCTTTCAGTGATTTTGGATTTCTGCGTGACAGCCCGAATGGCCACAGATTTTCTGATGATTAGCAAGCATATACTTTTTTGACTTGATTATTGTCTCCTATTCAAATGAATTTATTACTGCAGTTGAAACCATGAACTTACCAATAAACTATTTGCTACTCAGTTTTATTTTTGTTTTTAAGAGTAAACATCACATTGTGCAATATACATTAACAAAAAGTATTTGGATAGAAATACCAAACAAGTTTTCCTTCTGAATTTTATGATATCAAAATATCTTGGATGAGAAATCTTAACCTCATATTTGAATTTTGGTGGTGCTTGTACAGTGAAAGCAATCTGTTCTCAAGTGTGCCTCATAGGTCAGCTATCTCCACTGAAGTCTGAGACTAAGCAGTCCCAGTCTGTGCTCTTCTGACAGTACTAAGAGACAGAAATCAAAGGTGCTCCATAGGGCCTCAGTGTTCGTCAAATGCATTCTGATCTACACTGTAAACAAAATGTTACGTGAAAGAGTTCACCTAGGGGTGACATCTAGAGTCTGTTGCAGTCAGTGAGCACTCACTGTAAATCACCTTTGCCACACCACTGAGGAAATGAATGGTTCCTTAGTCCTAAATGGAGGCAATTAAAAAGTCCAATCTGAATGTCAAGTTTTTACAGTTTTCTCTTCCTAATTTCCATCTGAAGTTAAGATAGCTGTCAATGAGCTTTAGACACCCAGGGCCAGGATTAGAGTCACGTTTTCTAACACTTGGTCTTTACCAGCTTTCAAATAACACTCTTAGTGATCACAGCCAGCCTTGTTTAGGGCGGAGCTGGGCTCACACTTTGTTCACAAAATCCTAATCTTATTTAAATGCCTATGAATGTGAAATAGATATATAATAGGCTATAACTTCAGTGACTCAAAACACTATCTTTTACATCATCTTCCTAATTAGAGACAACAAGATGGTCCAGCAGGTAAAGGCCGAGGACTCAAATTTGACCTCTGGGACCCACATGGGGAAAGAAGAGAAAAATCAACTCCTCACAGATTCACTTATTGTCCTGTGCCCTACACACACACACACACACACACGCGCGCGCGCGTGCATTGTAAAGATTAAAATGAAAACCAAAACCCTTAGCAACTATAAAGAATAAACTGTAAAAAATAAAAACATAAACTATGTAAAAATAAGTACTTTATTATTTTGTACCAAGGAGAAAATAAAAGATAAAAATCCAGAAATATAATTCAAGTCCTTTTTGTGATATCCTGTAAATATATATATATTACTGAATTAATTTGTTAATCTGAAGTGGCCTTTGCTTGAAGATCTTATATTATCGTGGCAATTTATACATCTAGTAAGAAAGCATCTGTCTCCTTGAAGCCCGAGTGGCCTCTGGACCATGCTGACTTAGTTAAAGGATTGCAGGAATGCACAGTTCAATGCTGATGAAGGAGTTCCACAATCAGTGAACACGTATCACAAGAAATTAAGTTCACTTCTTCCACTTCATCCTTGGAGACAGTGTATTTCCCCCCACATCGGCAGGTCAGAGAGAAAGACCCATCATCTGAAAAGAAAACAGAAATAATGCCTCTAATATTTATAGTCACCTACTTTGCTAAAACCATTCAAAATATAGAACATGATCCAGAGAACTGTAAAATGAAACGAAGAAGCCAGGCACAGATAAGAATTAGTTTAAAGGAGAGCTGGAAAGATTCTCCTGCACAGGAGCAGTCTTTCCAGACTTAGCTATTAAACAGTGTCTATCAGTAGTGGTGATGGGCTGGTTCACTGTATCCAGTATTCATGGATGGGGATAGAGCAAAGGATGCTGAGAATAATCTTTGAAACTTTTAGTTTTCTGAAGAATTTGCAAATTTTATATGCTCAGCAATGCATTTAAGATGTTACAGTGAGGATAAGAGGGGCATTGCTGAAGTCTCTCCTGGAGAAGGGAGCTACCTCAAGCTGTCCATGTCATTCTACAATCAGGTGATTCAAACACAATACTATATGAAGTGTTTGCTTTTGTTTGATTTTTCCTATGAGATATGTAACTGTTTGCTTTGTAGTTAAAATTTAAATACCATAGGAATATTACATACAAAAAGTACAACTGATAATGTGATTTTTAAATTTTACTTTGTACTTTTAAAATGTATTACATTTGTGTATGTGTGTTTGTGTGTGTGTATACACGTATACACTTTTACATATGACATGGTATGAGTGTGAAGGTCAGAGAACAACTTGTGGGAGCCAGTTCTCCCCTTCCACCATGTGAGTTCAGGGACAACTCAGGTTGTCAGGCTTGACAAGTGCCGTCATTTGTTGAACCCTTCTGCCAGATCCTTAAATTTTATTTGTAAAGCCAGTTATGCTATGTAGGTAGCATAGGATGGCCTTGAACTCTAGTGATCCCGACTCAGCCTCTGGGTGCCAGAATTGCAGGCATGTACCCGCACACCTGCTGGTAGTGGTGGAGATGGGAAGCTTGGATTTTACTGTCTGTCCTCTGAATGCAAACCTCTGAACCAGTGCTATTCTAGTTCACTCTCTCTGGGAAGTATCAACAGTTCTCAGAACTCAGCAGGTCAGAATCGACCTCACTGCACTCATAACTTACAGAGACAAATGACGTTCCAGTGGGCACAGGACGCTATAGCTGACGTTCAAAGTCCACTACATTTAGAGCTCACTCTGCAGGAGGGAGGGAGAGGTGAAAATAAGATTCAGCTGCCTTGTGCTTTCGCTGTATAAAATTCAGTCTTGGAAAAATGGGCAATGAAGCCAACTTTATGAGCTGCCATATCATATCCAAAAGGAAAACATAAATCTGTCCTCAGTTTTTATCCTTTATCACAGTGTGTGTTTTCTCCATAAACAAAAAATAATTTCATTTTGAACTTATAAATACAAGTATCAGGGGGCATGGTTGTGCATGTCTTTAATCCCAGCACTCTGGAGGCAGCCGCAGGTGGATCTCTGAGTTCAAGGCCAACTTGATCTTGTCCTGTGAGTTCCAGGACAGCCAAGGCTGCACAAGGCTTTCTCAGTAAACCAAAAGAAAAAAAGAATGTAAACGTCTCCCCGTTTAAATCAGCATATATATATATATATATATATATATATATAGCATGTTTCAAAGTGAATGGTTGATTATCTAAAAATTGATTTTCTTTAAAATTTATTTTTTATTATTATTACTGTTATTGTATTGTGCATATGCCATGACATGTGCGTAGAGGTGAGAAGATAAAGTACATGTGTTGTTCTCCTTCCACCATGCAGGGCTCAGATCTGTCAGCCTTCTTTTCTCTTTTCCTTCTTGCTCTTGCTGTCGTCTTCCATTTATTTATTTAGTTGGTTGTCTGTTTGCTCATCTATTTTTGGTTTGTTTGAGAGAGGGTCTTACTGAATGGCCTTGAACTCTGCAATATTCCCACCTTAGCCTCCTAAGTGTTGGGATGACAGGTTGTGGTGACCCAAGCTTTTAATCCTAGTACTTGGGAAGCAGAGGCAGGTGGGTCTCAGTGAATTTGAAGTCAGCCTGGTATACATAGTGAGCTCCAGGGCAGCCAGATGTACATAGTAAGACCCTGTCTCAAAAAGTAAAGAAGCCACCATGCCTGGCTTTGCTACTGGACTTTTCTACTTTTCTTTCTTTCTTTCTTTCTTTCTTTCTTTCTTTCTTTCTTTCTCTCTCTCTCTCTCTCTCTCTCTCTCTCTCTCTCTCCTTTCTTTCTTTGCATATATATATAACATTATAATCCATAAAAAGTAATTATATATTTATTATATATATATATTATAAATATATGCCATTAGGTATCCTAAAGTAAGTCCCTACAACACATACCTTTACTACCTTGATGTGGGAGTCCCCTCTGTGTGCTGTGATTAACATTATGAATAAAGAAACTGCTTTGGCCTGTTGATAGGGTAGAACTTAGGTAGGCGAGAAAAACTAAATGGCATGCTGGAAGAAAGGAGGCAGAGTCAGGAACACCATGGAGCCATCAGAGACAGGTGCTGGGAATTTTACCTGGTAAGCCACTGTTACATGGCGATACACAGATTAATAGAAATGGGTTAAATTAATATAAGAGTTAGCCAATAAGAAGCTAGAGCTAATGGGCCAAGCATTGATTTAATTAATATGGTTTCTTCGTGATTTCGGGTGTAAGCTAGCCGGGCGGCCAGGAAGAACAAGCAGCCCTTACCCCAACACTACCTCAATGAACACAAGCAATCTGAGGTGACACATTTCATAAGTGGTGCAGAAGGTACCATGGGCCACCTGGGAGTTCATCTTCACATCTTGCTGAAATTTCTTATCTTCACTGAGGTCTTAATGCAGTGTTTTTATACAAACCATTTTAGATGTAATCATCAAAATCACCATGCAAAGCTTAGCTCCAATGTCCCACTGTTTCCAGAGACATGTTTTCAGCATAATAAAATGCACTGCTGGGTCATGTCTCTCATATGCATGCTCACAACTTCTCCTTTGTTAGATCTTCACCACCAAAGGCCATTGTGAAAATGACCCTGAAGGATTAAAACTGCCCTCCTGATAGACCTTTACTAGCTTCATATGCTAATACTGCTTTTTTCTAACCATAAAGATAGGTTCAAACCTATATTAGTTTTTAATACTCCTATCAGAATCCAGACTTCATGCAGATATTGCTCATTTTTCCCAGGAGGGTAAGGATAATGTCCATCTTTATAACTTAATTTAAATGAGTACCAAAGATACTCTATGTTTTAATCATCCCCTTTCTCCTCATGCATGTTTGGTAAGCGCTGCAGCGATGTGCCATAGCCCCAGGCTGAGCTATCTAAGATATGCATATAACTATGCTTCTTATTGATTCATTGGCCATGGCTAGGGTTCTGTTGATGTTTTTTACTAGAAAGATTATTTTAGGAGAGCTTTGGGAACTCGCTAAGTGGGTAGAGTGCTTACTGCATACCAGGAGGATTTGAGTTTAATCCCCAGCACCCACATAAAGGCCAGCTGTGGTTGCACATACCCATAACCCCTGTATTGGTGGATCAGGAGAGAGTGTAAACACGTAGACACAGATTAGCCAGTCTGAGAACTGGACTCAGTAAAAAGACAAAAAATAATGTGGAGAAGGAACTGAGAGAACATTCTACCATCAACTTGTGGCCTGCATGTGGGCAAGTGCACCTCCCCCTTCCACAATTGTCCTTCTGACAATCCTTGGTGTGATCTCCTTTTCTGTACTGGCTTTACTATGTGGGAATTTTCCACTTGTATCAGAAAATCCATGTATTTATTGACTAAACCACCAATCCATGTTTTGAATTTAAAATGAAATTTTAGACTGGGCATGGTGAGACATGTCTGTAATTCTGGCACTTGATGGAAGAGAGCAGGAGGATCAGGAGTTCAGGGTTTTCCACCTCTGTCTTGCCAGTTTGATGCTAATATGGATTACATGAGGCCCTCCCTTAAGAAAACAAAAGAAAATTAAATAAAATCTTAAAACTACATAATCAAAAATGCTCAAATATCAATGAAAAAATTACAAAAATCAGCTTTTACTAATTTCATGCTATCAGACAACATTAGCAAGCAAAGTATAAACTACATCAAGACCTAATTTTTAATGAGCAAATAAACATCTAATGATTAATGAGGACTCAAACTATATTTTTTAAAAAATTAAATTTGTAACCAGTCTATGGCAGTGCATGTTTTTTAATCCCAGCACTTGGGAGGCAGAGGCAGGCATTTGAGGCCACATGGTCTACAGAGGGAGTTCCAGGACAGCCAGGGCTGTTACACAGAGAAACCCTGTCTCAAGAAATAACCGCCCCCTCAAAAAAGAAACAAAATTAAATTTGTTTATGTATATATGGATATTTTGTCTGCATGAATGTCTGTATACCACATGTGTGCAGTGCCTGCAGGAGTCAGAAGAAGGCGCTACTTCCCTTGGAAATGGAACACAGACACCTGTGAGCTGCCACATGGGTGCTGGGAATTGAACCCATGTCTTCTGCAAAAGCAGCCAGTGCTCTGAACCAGTGAACCATTAAATGCAAGTCAAGAGTCTGTATACTCCTGCCCCAAAGTATATTTTTTAAAAATATATTTAGTCGGACAAATCTCAAATGATTGTTACATTCTAGTGTGTCTCTCCAGAAGTTAGCAATGAAGAACAGGTCACTCTTGCTTGCAGAGAAGCCATCCCTCCTCTTATTACGATGGCTTTGCCATGGAAGACACAGAACTCTGGTTATTCATGGTAAATATGAACATACCCCAGAATTTCATTTGGGTGGCTAAACACAGAGTGGTTCTCTAGGCAAAGACATGATTCCCCTTCTAAGTTAGTAATGCTTGTGCTCACTTCATAGATTACTAAGTAAAGAATTTGCCATGAAAAATGAAGCTTGGGTTCAAGAAGGGTGGCTGTGTCTAGGACAGCACTACATTCATTAGTGAGTTTCTATTAGCCCTGAGGAGAACCGAACCCTAAGCTGAAAAACAAACTGACAGAGTTAAGAGTAGACACAAAATTCTAAGAACTAGTAACTGTATCTTCCCAGAGAAGTACTGAAGTATAATGGTCATGGCTTCCACTTAATAAGTGGTGTTTCCTAATTTAATAATGTGCAACCAGAACAATTGCAAAGAACAGAAGAATGTGGAAATTATATTGGTTAATACAATTTTAATATTCTAGTATAAGAAAATGGAAAGAAGACATGACTTTATGGAAGGCAAGGGGAGCAAGAGATTTTTCTTAAGGACAATCAGATAGTGTTAGGAAAGTGCTAGCATGTCAGTGTGTGGTGGCTTATGCCTGTAGTCCTGGCTTTCAGAAGCTCAAGGTCTAACCTAACAGTTATTTTCAGTTGAGATGAGATCAGGTTACACATGAGGCCTTGGCTCAGATAAAAGCAAACAGTCAAAGAGAAGGCAAAGAAAAACAGCAAGCTCTTTTAAAGCAGAAGGCCTGGACATTAAACGACTTCTCGTATCAGTTTCTGATCCCATATAGGGCAAAAAGAAATTCTGACGGGAAGTTAGAAATGGGTCATATAATATCTCAATAAGCAAAGTTGATAATAGCAGGCCAACAAAGATCTATGTAGAAAGGTAAAGCTCTAGATAGATAGATAGATAGATAGATAGATAGATAGATAGATAGATAGATAGATAGATAGATAATATAAATAAATATGAACCCTAATATTTCTCTTCAGTGTGGGTAGAACAAAATAAACTAAAATCCAACCTTTGTTCCAGGACATTTCTTCAAGGTACACTTGTGTGTCTACTGGCCCCATACTTCTTAGTTCCGCTTCTGTAGAATACAAAATGAGACAATTTGATAATGAGGAATCCTGATAATGCATCTCTAGCATGGCCATTCAAACCCATCTTATGAACTGTTTTCAAACTAGCTTAATGCTTTTGACATCAGCACAGAGACAGAGAGCTTTTAGCCCATGTCCACCAGGTATAGAAGAAAGTTCATAAAAGAACAATAGCAAGCCAGAAGAACAGCCCGTGTAAGGAAAAGAACTGGCCAACACCTTGATCTTGAACTTTTCAGCCTCCAGAACCATGAGAAATAAATTCTGCTCAGCTACCCGGTCTACAGTGTTTTGTTAGGGCAGCTCAAGCAGACTAATGGGTATTTTTCAAATCAAATGAGATCAGGCCAGAGGTGCTGTAAAGAGCAAAGCTCTACAAAACATAGGGGGCTGCTGATCATCTGCTTGCAAAAGAATAAAAAGAAACTAAAGGGAGGGGGACTTTACTACTTTGGTAATCCCACAGCACAGCTGCGAGCTGCGTTCTGTGCATCCTTTGCTGTTTCCTGGGCCAAAGATTTCCTCTACAGACTGAGGTTCTAAGCCATGAATTTATCTAAATATAATAAGAATATGGTCTGGGTAGTAGAACCATAAAATCTCACTTAAAGCACATAGACTTTGAGCAAAGAAAACAACCACAGATGGAAAACCTTATTTCTGTATTCCTATATATACCTATTGTTCTTTTAGAAGTTAATGCTTAAGAAAAAAAAAAGAGCCCGTTACCAAAATTCAGCAACTTCCCTGACTTCAAACGTCGTTAGCTGTCTCACTAGTCTCCTTCTCACTTTGTTGTTGTCTGCATGCCTGCAACTTAATTATATTGAATAACTACCCGCTCAGAATGTATTGGTGAGTTACACCATTTAAAAATAAATGAAAAGATTATACAATATTTTGAACCTACCATAGTTTCCTACTAAAGTATGTCAAATATTATACTACATCATATTTACTGGGTACCAACAATCTATTAAACTGTTCCTAAAATCCAGACACAGACTTTCTCTTGTGATCGAGATAGCTCTACCATCTATCTATGACACTGAGTAGCTTATAAATAATTTATAGTATGCTAAGTAGTTCCTAAACAAAGCAACTTATTTTGCATATCCTATACAAAGTATATTTGCTTACCTGTTCTGGCTTCTTCCTCCCTCTCCCGCCACCCCCTGAGAAGACCAAGTCTTACTTTACAGTCCAGGTCACACTTGAACATACTACATGTAGCTTATGCTGGTCTTGAATTCATGGCAGTCTTTCTGCCTCCTGAATGTTGAAATTATAGGCAGGAGCCACCATGCCTACCTGACTTGTTCTTTCCTTTTTTCCTTCTTTGAGACAGGGCCTCTCTACATAGCCCTGGCTATCTTGACACTTACTATGTAGATCAGGCTGGCTTTGAAATCCACCTGCCTCTGCCTCCCAAATGCTGGGATTAAAGGTGTGGGCCACATACCTTTATATTCAATTTGAAAGTCTCAGGGACAGAAAAAAAATTCTTATGTTTCAATCTCTTATTCAGAAGGGTCAGCTTTGCTAGAATTAAGAAATTAATATTTGAAAAATGGAGATAATTCATAGTGAAAAGACCTTTTTGGAGAACAAACAAGTATCATCAATTTGCAACTAAGTTACTAGGGTATCTTGTATTTCTGTATTCTCTGCACCCAACTGAAGCAAAGTAGATTGGAGGAATTAGCTTTCTCAGCCTGACCTAACTTGGAAACCCAGAATATACTAATGTGTTAAAAGGATAAATATTTATAAATACCCATGATGCCATTGTATTTAAAAATAACTATCTTGCAAATTTCAGCTTTTCTACTAGAAAGCAGCTTATTCTGATCCAGTTACTACTTGGTGTGCCACTCTATCATTCAACCACATGTCATTAATTTCTCTTCCTCTTGTCCCTATGCACAGGGCCCTTAGAGTAGCACCTATTCTTAGTTAAAAGATTAGCATAGCCCATCTCATGGTGAAGAAAAGAGAACACAAAAATGATTACTTTTTTGCCAAAGATCAGAATTGAATATATTGGAGTTCTGAGGTTATGGAAACAAAGATATTGATCATTCAATACTATGTGCATAAAACTCTGTGAGTGATTTTAAAAATCAGAATCTGACATCAACAAGCATGAACCATACCAGGAAAAGTGTGGAGGGGCAAGGTGTGCTCCCCAGAAGTCATGGGAGCTTCCTAGTTAAATTGGTGTGTTTCTGGTGACGTGAGATTTCTGCACCTCTCTGCACACACACATGTTACACTTCGACAAAAAGGTTTTAAAAACAGTGTATCAGAAATTCTAATGGTCCCATTTTTAAAACTAGATATAAGGTTTTTTTTTCTTTAAGAAAAGTTATTGTCCTTTGAAAAGACAATAATCTAACAACTTCTGAAAAGGCTGGGGTGATTAACTCAGGGGAAAATTGGATCCCTGGAGGACTGCATAATGAGCAGACGCAGGACAGGAAAAGTAAAAGGTGAATCTAAATGTGGGCAGTGGGGGGTGACCACGATCCTTTGTTGAGGGCAGGTGTCCTACCACCCCAACCCCCACTACAATTATAATAAGGAAGGAGTACAAGCAAATCAGTGTGTTTTTCTTTTTCTTTTAAAACAATGATCTCTGCTTGTCCACCATTGTAGTTGTAATTAAAATCTTAATTCTTCCCTATTTACTAAAGCCACTTGCAGGAGCCCTGAAAGCAAAGCAGTCTGATAATTCAGTAGTAATCAGGCATGGCATCTTCAAAACAGATGTGCTTATTTCCTTTTACAATCTCTCTCTCTCTCTCTCTCTCTCTCTCTCTCTCTCTCTCTCACACACACACACACACACACACACACACACACACACACACACACAAAATTTTGTTCCTTGCAATGACGTCTTTTAGTAGACAGATCTAGAAATGCAAACCCCACCTCCAAGTGTTCCTGTGAAAACATGGCACTACTAACATTGAGAAAAGAAACAGACTTTAAATCCAAGATTCTAAAATTGAATCCTTTCTTCCCCTACATAATGGCATAACTATTTGAAAAAAAAATGAAACATAAAACAACAACAAAAGCAGAGGAAAGAAACAAAACCTCGAAAGGACAAAACAACCCACAGCCACTTGTAAGAACACACCGCTGGCTTTGGTGTGCTTGCTCTATCTTGAGTGAAGTGACTGCACAATTTGATTCTTTATTAGAAAATGGGTTCAACTCTTTTGATTAGCTAGGAATATTAAGGTCTGTTCACACTGTGTCATACTGACAAGCTTAGCCAAATGAGACAAGACAATCCCCAACCCCCCACCTTCCAATTTTACTTTTATGTATCAAAAGCAGGGCATTATAGTTAGAGTGAGGTTCCTAAGGAATATAATGATAAAATCACATAATTTATGTGGTTACTTGAAAAAGAATCTTTCAATCTTTAGAAGTATGGGCCCTTCTGACCTGGCATTCTATTGGGTTTGTCTGACAACAAGAGGTGAAAGAATTCCGTGGCTCCATTGTCTCAACAGTGGGATCTAAGACAACACTGGCAGGGCTCGTCAGAGAGGTTTATGAGCCTGCAATTCAAAGAGATTAAAAGGAAAATCTACAGCGATTCATTCACACTGACGAATAACATTAAATAACTATTAGCAGCTCGGTTCAGCCAAGCTCACCAGAGCTCTCGCTGAGTCATTCACAGCCTTCTAAAGAGGGAAAGTTTCTTCAGCCCCATTTGGGAATCAATAAATATTTCTTGCTTCTTCTAAGACAATGGAATTCCAGTCTTTAAAACCTTCTTCCTAATGATAGTCAAATTTCTAAAGCAACCCTTTAATATCCAAATAATTACATTTCTAATCCCACGAAAATTTCTAACCGAAGCTACAATATATATATATGAAAAAAAGAAAGAAAGAAAAGAAAAGAAAAACCAGTAAGTAAAAATTTAAAATAGCAGCAACCGGAAACTCTGGGAGAGGGCTCACTGTTCACTAGGCTGAGGTGTTTAAAAGCCTCACTCAACTGAATAATGGCCAAGAGATCAAGTGCACCCACAGGCCTGCCTGTCCCATTCATGTGTGGCAATGTCATTTATCCCAAGGGCCATCACCCCCAAATGCTCTCATGGAGAAATTACTACTTTTCTGGTGCTGCACTGTCAAAGGCTTAAATACGCCGTTCCAGCTCTAAGACTTGTGTATGTGCATCTGGAGAACTGAACACCAGTGCTGCCCTCTAGCTCTAGCTCCACATTCTCTATCTTACTCAAGTTGTTTGATTTTAAAATCATCTCAATTTAAAAAAGCATTTCACTATAGAGATGAGATTTCCCACAGAGGAAGACGAATCTGTCCTGGTTGTCACGTTGCTATTCTTGGTCTCTGATAAGGGGCTGAGAAATGGGCAACACTGACTTGAAAATTGTTTATTAAACTATAAAGCCTATAATCTTTTCCCAGATGAAATTAAAGTCACAATTACAATGTTTTCCACTCCAAAGAAAAGAAATTAAGGGTGGAGGTTTTGCAAAACACGCACCTGGGCTGGGTGCACACCTGTTACTCTGGAGCTCTGGCAGCTGAGTCAAAAGACAAGGAGCTCAAAGGGTACCCCAGGCACAAAGTGAGGTCCTAGGGAAGGAGGGGAGGGAGGGCAAGAAGGGATAAGGTAAGTGCAAATGAAACACTAAAGCTCAATTCCTGTGCTTTACCATGGGATGGATACAACAAAGGCAGACACAGGCCCAGTCTCTTCTCCAGATCACCAGAACCCCTCATCTCTGACTAGTTAGATGCAAGGATGGTGGACCATACACTAGTTGTGGAAAACCTGGAAGCCAGACACTCTAAGACGAGAGAAAGTGTCTTGGAATCCCTTGCTGTCACTAGCTATATGACCCTGGTGAAATTAGCTAACCACAACAAGTTTTGCCGGCCCTTGGAAACAGATAATGCTATTGCCCTCACAAGGGTATTTAAACAATATTTAAAAGGCAATTACCAGAGTTGCAGTGTGTAAAAATAGTAACTATTTTTAACTGTTATTATCTTATCATTTTACCACTGAACTCTGTATCAGAACACAAGAAAATAAGGAAAACCCAGTCCACTGGTAATGAGGAAGTTTAGCAAGACAGCAACTCCTGACCTCATCTGGTTTCATAACAGTTGCCAGTTCCATTAAAAATGATTTATTATTATAAAAACATACATACATACATAACATATGGGGATGGGAAAATTGACAGGGAGAAGCCAAGGAATTTCTGTCCTATTTAAATTTCAGATAAAGGCTGTTCTGGGGTAATTACAAAAATTGCAAAAATTCTTAAATGCAGACAACAAAAGCTCTAGCGACTAAAATGTCAATGACTGTGGGAGAATACAGCAGCACAGAATGTCACAGCTGTGGCGGGGACCAGGCCAAGAGCTGCAGTGTGAGAAGGACTACCAGACTGTGAGGAGGAAATGAATCCACAGGAAAAGGAGCACCATACAAAGAAGAAATGCCACCTGACCTTCCGCACCCACCGGTGGGAAGCAGAGCAAGACCAGCTCAAGTCTAAGGAAGAAACTAAACAAGAAAGACAACTAGCTGCTCTTGGTTTTGACACACCCATGTCAGCTGGGTCAAGTAATCAAACAGAACTGGGGGGAGCAGTTAAAGTTGGAAGTAAGCCCTCCTAAAGCCTCACATCAGCCCTGTTCAATCAGGCTCTCCAACGGTGCTCACTCACACCACAATTACAACTATGTTTTTGCCTATAGGCTTTTAATTATTTGTAACTAATTTTGTATTCAAAATTAATAACAAATAAGCTTAAAATACTTTTCATGATAAAAATAGTTATTTGCATTCATGTGAAAGTAAACTATTTTGAGTGACAAAGAGATGAGGAGGGACTCTCGTGGACAGTTCATCTCTGCTCTCCCTACCCTCGTAAGAGGCTGGGCCCAGCTGTCCAGATGGATTTTCTGCATCACTTCACATACTTATTTTCCCAGAAACAGTCAGCTAAAAAACAAACCTCTCGATGCTTATCTACAGGTTCTTACCTGAAGCAAATTTTTACGGTCAATTTTGAAATTCCTAAAATCAAACTGAACTCCTAATCTGACTAACTTACGTATTTTATAAGGGTCAGCTTCAGGACATAATTTACACAATTATCTACTGGCCTCAAGTTATTAGTACTAGCAGTCCAAATTTATATTATTTACATTTAAGAGCACATTTCCCCCTTTCTTATAAACCATCTTAAACATAAAGGCTTTTTTTCAGAAAAAAATTCCAATTTTACACTTGAGATTTAGTGATTTGAATACAGGAATATCTGTGGAACTTAAAGATTCATTCCTCATCGGTTCAAGATTCATTTCCTTATCTTCCATTTTCAAATATTCATCCTAATAAAGAATTGATGTGAATTATATAATGAAACATCAGAAACAACTTGCTATATCTCGCAAAGAGCAGCATCTTAGTGTATGTTCTGCCAAACCCCTCCAACCAGGCTGCTTAGGCATCTATGCACTTGTGCACTTGGCAGAATGAAGGTACACCATTCCCAAAACAGTTTACCCACATTAACAGAACAAGATGTACTCTAATTTGAAGAGTCCAAGAATAAAAATATAAAAATGTAGATTCCAAAAATAAGAATGTAAAAATAAAGAAATATAAAGTTGTAAGTCTAGGAGAATGAGAACAGTCTGCCAGCAGCTGTCTCAGCAGCTTGAAAATTAACTATGAACAGTGGGTTATTTCGCTTTACAACCCATAGCTCTATTTACAAGGCCAAAGCATCTCTCTGCAAACTGAGAGCTAACGTACGGATATGAGCTGAGTCAACTTTTAGGAGATAGATAAATGACCTCTTGGTTATGCATTATTCCTGCTATGTGAAACTGGCAGCATCAAAGGGGAGAGCACGGGGCTTCAGTAAACACCGCCTGGAAGTACCAAGGAAGACAACAGGTTACTAATTTAACTGAAAAACTCCATTAATAGAGATTGGAAAGTAAGGCAATCTGTATCTGAGTTTTACCTTGAGATTGTAAACATTCCTTTGTTCAGACCTAATGCTTGGTGCCCCTACTATAAAAAGATGGGTTCAGAAACTGGCCTTTTGCCACAGCCTAACAAACACCATCTCTGGCTGTAGTCTCAGCTAGCCGATAAGCTTCTGTGCTCTGCGGTGTTTTTTGTTGTTGTTTTGTTTTGTTTTGTTTTGTTTGTTTTTATTTTTAAGTTTGCTTCTGGTTTTCCTGGAATCTGGTTTCTGGAATAAAGTTTGCTTCTGGTTTATTAGACTTTGGTGGTCTGTCCCCATCTTTGCGTGACACCCCCCCCCCAACCCAACAATCTGGTATCAACAGGGATTCCAAACACAACTCACTTTTTTTTTTTAAGTATTACTTCATCTGATCAACTGCATTTGTAAGTTTGCTCCTCTTCAGATAACAGAGAAATAACTCCTAGGTGTGCCATCTATAGAGCCGCTGAGACAGTGAGATACGTGCGACAGAACGTTACAAAGCTCTTTTATTCCCACGAAATACTTGTTGTTTATTCTGATGTTTATTCTGATTGTTTATTCTGATATACATGAGAAAACTCCCCCAATAAGACTTATAAAGACACCAAAATCTTTTTGGTAGTGTTGTTTATGTGAACATTTTACACATCTTGAAAGAGTTCTTTCTCCAAGTGTGCAAAGTCTGCTCTTGGATCTTTCCAGGGGGTTCTACAAGCAGCTTTCGAGGCATCTTTATCAATAACATGGTATATATGCCAACTGGAACTAATTGGTCAATTTTACTAGTTACCATCACTTTCAAAATGCCAAGAATAAAGACATGGAAAGAAGGGGAAAATATGTTTTACTAAAGCTCTCTTCCCTACTATCACATTTTCTTTATTAGAAATAATCCATTCAGTAGTTTCCTTTGAGAAGTAAACAATATGGATGCCAAGGGTCCTTTAAATTAGCTTCTGGATACATCTATGGCTGTGGCAATACTGATGAGATTCTTCTTAAAATAGAGTACCACTCTGAGCTAGGAGTTACGGAAGAGCATTGATCATCAGTCAATGGAGCAAGGACAGCTTAAACAAACACTGCAAATCAATGTCAGGTAGGCAATAAATACTCTTAACACTGCCAAAAGGAAGTTCACAATAGCCATCACCACACGTAAAGAGCTCTGTACAGCTATTTCCATGTCCCCAGGGGTGACCCAGAAAAACTGAGAGCTCTGACCTGGTTTTAACAATTCTCCCTTTTACTATCCTATAATGATCAAATTAGTACCCTCAAAGGTTTTCCTTATATCAAATCTAAATCTTGTTAGAGATTTGAGTCCATTTTATTTATTTTTGAAAAGCTACGTATTCATGAGTAAAAAGAAATTAGTATCAGTATTCAAATCAGGTTTATCACAAGAGTTTTGAAAGGCAATTCTGGAATAAAAGGTTTAAATATAGCCAGTCACACTTAGATATGAGAGCTCTCAACAGCAGGCCAGTGGCCATTTAAAACTGGAATAGCATTTATGTTCAGAACCTCTGATGAAGAACATATTTGTGTACATCAGAGGTGCTCAGACATCATTAAAAGCTGTACATCCACTGTCTTAAAACAGCAACATTTAGTAACACTTACCTGAAGAAATGGCAAAGCAAGCAGACATATAAATTCAGGACTATTTAATCTGAATCATAATTTTTTCTACTTTATTGTGATCTTATCAATTACCTACAAAATCTCCCTATGATACTGTAGTCTATAAAAGCTGAGTTATTAAAAGCTTAAAACTGCACACTCAAAGCTCAAAAAATGCATAATCCTAGGAACTTCTTAGGCTCTACCAAGTATTTACACTTCTAATGTCTTTTAAACCTCCCTTCATGCAATTCTGAGCTCATTTTAAATCACTTTCCTAGTTCTTTCCATTTTTGAGATTACCCTACTGCATGCCACAGAAAAAGATCATACTTCATAATTTTTGCTCTTCTCTTACCCTTTGGAAAGTAGATCTTCAGCCAGTTTCACTCACATAATCTTTATGGTATACAGGCTCGAGTGGCAAAACCGCAGACACTACACATACATGTCCTACACGTTTTATTTCATACATATGAAATATTGCCCTGTGCACCACATGCATGCCTGGTGCCCACAGAGGCCAAAAGTGACCATTGGATCCATGGGACTGGAGTTATAGATAGTTATGAGCTGCTATATAGGTGCTGGAAATTGAACCCAGGTCCTCTGGAAGAGCAGGCAGTGCTCTCAACTCCTGAGTCATCCCTCCAGTCCCTGTCCTATAGGCTTTAGGGTACGGTTTTGTGTGAATTCTTCTTAAGCAAACTGTATACAACATTAGTAAGGACTGATAAAAACATGAAGAAATAACATCAGAGAACTCATCACCAACAGAGCTCTGGGATTTTATGAGGCTGGGCAGCACACTCAGGATTATGTCATTCTTAAATGCACTTGCTTCCACACAGTCAGGAACTTACCAGGAGAACCTGTTTATAAGGATGGTCAGAGTTTGTTCTTGAATGAAGGTACCTTACATTCTTTCTACCAGAAGTAAAATTTTATTAACGAAATATATATATACCAAATAGAAGACCAGATATTTAAGTCACATTTGAAAACTAATGCAAATCCCTTGAAAAGGAAAACTCACCAGGACCTAATAGTAAAAAACAAAAACAACAAAAAAATATAACACTGGTCTTTTAAAAAGTAGACAGTGCCCAGATAGGATTAGTAATAAAACTAAACAGCATTACAAACAAAGGCTAGAACAGGCATGGTGGCACGTGCCTGTAGTTCCACTACTCAGGGAGCAGTCTGGAGAATTGTTGCAAGTCTAAGTCCAGCCTGGGCATATGGTGAGTTTGAGAGCAACCTAGGCTACAAAGAAAGACTTTGCCTCAAAAAACAGAGATGAGAAAAATCAAATATCACAAGGGTATGACAAACTGAAAAAGAAGTATGTATTTTCAGTGGTACTGCTTCCTCTGACACTATGGATTTCTACAAATACTGGCTGTGTCCTATCATGTTACATTTAGAAATAAAGCCTTGCTTCTCAAATCAACTTGTCATAATCTTAGCAGAAGCCTTAAAATTTATTTGGTGAGGTGGACAGTGTGCCGGTGTTAGCATGGGAGGGGATTTATTAATCAGCTAAGTACCATGAGCTCCTATCAGCACATTTCGGTGCTGAGCCTGGTGTGCTATTGGGGAGAGGCAACTCAGTGTTTGTCCCACAGGCTGTACCCGATGATTGGCTCACCACATTACCATGTATGGTGCTTCTCAAAAGTCCAGATATAAGGCTGAGGAACTCCTGTCCCAAGGCCAGTGCTGAAAGACAGCCTATCACTTCGTGTAAGACAGTTCATGTGTGACAAATCCGACCTACATTCTCCTTTCTTTCTCCCAACAGCTTGTCACTGTTGTAAGGAGCTATTTTCAAAAGGCAAAAAGAAGTGACCTTTAAAATTATTTAAGCAATGTTCATTCGTAAGGCACCATTGACAGCAGTCTCATAAAGAGTAACTCATCACGAAACCTACCTTAAAACAAAGGGCACAGGCAGCGAGTAACTAGGATCCAACCTGAGTAACAGCTTCCTGCAGATGATCACGGCTACAGGAAATCATCTTCCAAATACCGCACTTAAGATTGCAATGCATACATAACTAAGTTTAGTAACAATAGCTTTAAGCATATAATGCACATTAATTTGGGGTGTACATTGGCCATTTTTAGTGGTTTACAGAAAGCACTACACTTTGGTAGATTTGTTAACTTCTCAATAGACACAATAATCACTACTAAGAACAGGACGGAATTAAAAGCAATGATGGGGTGAGGAGCAATGACGGCAATAACTCGACGCAAATGCTGGGAAATGTTCTGCAGGTGTGGCTTGCACACTGCGCTTCCAAGAGCTGTCCATGGCTTTGTCTCTGCACCACAAGTACCTACCATGCCGCTGCAGGTCATACATTTTTTTGGTTTCTTCATTCCCTAGAATTTTCCACGCTTGGTCAATTTCAATGAACTTCTGCATACATTTCTCCATGGTTCCTGCTGGCGCATCTGCACTTTGTTTATCTGGATGATACTGCCAATCAAAAATAAGGGCAGTTAATAGAGTTGAGTGGGGTAGGTTTAAAACAAACAAACAAACAAAACAGTCATAAACCTGAGCTTTAGTTAAGAAGATGATGAGAAGATGGAAAGTGAGATGCCAAGGCAATGAGACAACAGCATTGGGCACAGGAGACAACTGCCAGGTAAATCAGACCACGGCAGTAGCTGCAGATCCACCCATGACATGATCTGTCACAACGTGCAAAGACAGCATTCTCTAGATAATTTGCTCATGGAATCTCTGGTCTCATAGATGATTTACCTACAGAAGGTGACTCACACAAACAAATTGGTACGTGCAGAGCAGCAGGACCTGAGAAAGGAGGAGCACAAACCACACAGATGAAGACTTCCTTATATAATGGATCTCAGTGTCGATAAAAGTTCAAAATGGACAAGGATGCTTTTATTATGAAATTATACAACTATAACTTAAAACACATCTTACTATAGAAACATAAGACTTTTCATATTCTTCTCAGCCCTGAAGTTTTCATAGTTTCTAGGCCACATTTGTAAATAACTTGATAAAACATTCCAATATAAATTCATTAAATATCCTTCTCATATGAACTTTCTAACTAAGAAATTTTTAGTAATATTTTTAATATATATAGTATTTTGTCAAAACCAGAAAGTTCTGCCCAACTCATACCTGGGAAATGCTAACTGCGATGTGGTTACTGGGAACCTCACTTACCCTACTTTCCCCTCCTTTTCTCTTTAGTTCTCTTGTCTCTGATATTTAACAAGCTCTCAGCAAACAAATGAAGAAAGATTAAATTTAGGACATTTCACTTAAAATAATATGTGGGTGACAATGCAGATGCTCAGATGGGTAACTTTTTCATTCCCAAGTAAATAAGAAACCAGTAGACAGCACTATTTAAAATCTTTCAAGCAGTAATTATTAAGTTTTATCAAACATACTATAGAATACATTTAAATTTCAAAGATAAACCTAGTAATTGTCTTGTTTTCTTTTTCAACTCATTTCAATAAAACAGGCAAATAGCTATGCCTATATTTCATGACATACGGATGTAGACAGCTCACCAAGGAATGGCACTAACAGATTCTTTCTCTGCCTTCCTAACACTAAAAGGGCAGAGGATCTTAAAAGTACCCTCACTTTTCATTCCTGTTGCCAAATTCAAATTTGCATAGCAAATCATGCTAACATGGGGCTCGACAGCTTTAATTCCCATTGAATTCAGGAGGTATGTAAGTTTAATATTTTTAAACTGTAACTTTGACAAGGGATGTGTTGTCATGGTAACCTTGCCCACACTGATGCTGATCCTTATCAGTAAAGCCAAAGGGATTCTGCTATTTGGTTAAACAGAAGAACTCGTAAACAAGGAGCAACTAAGGGAAACAAGGGCAAACAAGGAGAACTAAGTTTCTGCTTTAGCAAACCTTTCTCTTTATGCCAAATTCATCAGTTATTAGCAGTCAGATACCTAAGCTAACTGCTCTAACAACTGTGGAAAAGAAAGAAAGTCTTGCTGGCTGTCGTGGTGTAAGCCTTTAATCCAAGCACTTGGTAGGCAAAGACAGGCTGATCTCTGTGAGCTCCAGGGCAGCCGGGTCTACAGAGGATGACCAAGGCCACCTTGAAATCCACGATGAATTCAAAACTAGACTGGACTAGATAGTAAAACCCCACTTAAAAAAAACAAAGAAGAAAATTTTAAAAGTTTACATGTGGAAACATTTAATATCAGCATGTTTTAGGTATTAAATAATGTCCTAGAGACGCCACTGGAAACTTTTAGAGGAAGAGCAGCGCAGATCAAAAGCCAGGTAATTTCTAACAGACCATTACAAGAAGCCTATTTGATTGACCTGATCATGCACCAATGTGATGGAGAAAATTCTACAAAAACAGGAACTCCTGGCTGCTCCAAACCAAAAGGTACAGCTAACCTTTATTATGAGTTCTACAATTGTCAAAATGAGATCCAATCTTCTTCTATCTTGGTATTTTCTGATTATTTCTAAAATGGGGAGCTTCTCTTCTGAAGCTTGTACTACTAGAATTCAACATGATTCTACAGAAACCAGTTAATGATACAGTTTATTAAAAATAACAATAATCCCAAGAACTGGCAAATGGGATTCCAGGAAATAAAGCTTCTGCACAGTAAAGACAATCACTATAGAAACTAAGATTGTAGTCCTGAACTCATACTGTGATACAAGAGATCGGTGGACAGAATAAAGCGTCTAGAAATAATCATACGTATGGTCAACTGACTCTGCAAAGGTGTGCAATGCAGTGAGGAAAGGCGAGTATTTTGGTCAGCGTTCTGTTACTGTAACAAGCATCTGATATAAATCAGCTTATATGGAGAAAAGGTTTGTTTTGGCTCTCAGTTTTGGAGATTGCAGTCCATGATCAGCTGCACCTATTGCTTTGGGCCTGCTTAAGCAGATTATATCACAGTCTGAGCATGTGGCAAGTGAGGCTTTTGGTGGTCAAAAGGCAATGGTCAGCGTTCCAATATTCTCTTCAAGGGCATGCACTAACTTTTCAAATAAGTACAACCTCCTAAAGGTTCTACCATTACCCAAGAGCAGAACCTGGCACCTAAGCATCAACACGTGCGCCTCCCAGAAACATTCCCGATCCAAACTATAGCTGTTTTTATGCACTGAATGGCTCTTAAATGAGTGGATATCCACATGGAAAACACAGCTTCAGTGAATATCTTGTTCTTAACACAAAAAGTAATTCATGGTGAATCGGAGACATAAACATAAAACACAGAGCCAGGTGATTCCAGTCCATGGCAGGCAAAAGGCAGAGAATCACAAGCTGCAGGCCAGCACAGGCCAGCACAGCCTTCATAGAGAGATCCTTTAGTGGAAAAACAAGGGTTGAGAATGTCGCTCAGAGGTAGAGAGCACTTGGTAAGCAATTATAAGATCATAAATTTAAACTCTAGAAGCACAAAACATACAAACACAGACAGGCAAATAGCAACAACAAAACCATAAAGCTTCTCAAAGGAAACAAAAAGGATTACTTCTTCCCCTGGGACAGGCATAGATCACATCAAAATAAGCAGAAATGTAAACTACATGGCACAAAACTGATAAACTGAATTTTCAGCTCATCAAAACCATCACTAAGAAAACGAATAAGGAAGACTAGGGGGAAATATTGAGTATTCATGTGTCAAGACTTGTGTGCAGAATATACCAAAGAAGAGACACAGGAGAGTGGAAGTCATGTGTGCACTGCTGAAGGGACAGCAGGCCAGTTGAATTTCCATATACCTCAGAGTCAAGCAATTCCACTCTCAGATGTTTTTACACAAGATAAATAATATATAAAAACATATATTCACCAAAAGGCTCATAAATAAATGTATTATCTTATTAATAAAAGCATAAAAGAACTAGAACCCATGTATGCCTTCCAAAGAGAGTATGGATTAATAAAAGTTCTTAAATCCCTATAAAAGAATACAATTGAACAGTTAAAATCTATGATATATTCAGAAACACAAAATGAACATATAATGCTTTTTTTAGTAAAAGGAGCACATTCAAATATATACAGCACATGCTTTAGAATTAAACTCATATGAAATAAAAATTTTGACAAATATGTTCTATGGTGACAAAAAATCAAGTTCCTAGATAGACATGGGCGGTAGGAATTGAGGAAAGGGGCAGAAGGAATTTGTTTTAAGAATGAAGATGTTCTATGGGTTTTGGAGTGCTAGTTACAGTAGTGAAACTGGCCAAGTCAAACATGTGAGAGCTGTTCAGCTTTTCATTGAATACAGGCCTCGTATCAAAAAAAAATTTTTTTTCAGAAATGTCTGAATTTTAAAGAAAGAATTTAGCAAAGCTCTGTAAGATGGGGAAAAAAAGTGAGAAAATTCTTCTGTTATGAAAAAAGAGAAAAATGGCTAGCTGGTGGATCAAACCTGCAATCCCAGCACAGAGAAGGATAAGGAAGGAAGTTAGCTGAGGGTTTAAGGCCAGCCTGGTCTACACAGTAAGTTCCAGGCCAACCTGGGGTCAGCATCACAAGCAAAAAAAAAAACAGGAAATAAAAATAGAAAAGTACAAGAAAATCACAAAATATTAATGAAAAGTTCTAATATGAATTAAAATTAATGAAAAAGTTTGAATTACAAATTGTTTATAGAAATAGTTTGACTTTTGAGCGCATGTGCTAATTTCAGTAAGCACTGGAACACACACACAGCCAAGCACAAATAAACATAAACATGCTTTGTCCATGCAAAGCCCTGGGGCCGTGATGTTCCTGGGGACCACAAAGGAATGAAGTAAAGACAAACAGGACACACATACAAAAAGCTGAGATCGGATGGACAGGGAGGGCTCTCGATGGAGAAACCGCAGCAGCTGGGAAGTTCAGTGTGTTTAGTATATTGAGTAAACCAGGGAGGTGGGCTTTATTGCATACAGCTGAGAAATGAGGGGTCTTTACATTAGATAACAAGGAGGTAGGATTTGGTATCTGTGGGATCAGGAAGATGGTCTGGCTTTTCTCAGAAGCAGTCTCTGTAAGTGGGGGAGTCTTCAGGCTGTAGACACCCAGAGGAAGACAGCTACAGTGGGCATTTTCTGCGCACACTGTCAACATTTGCACTTGCAGCAGAGAGGGGCTTTGCTATCCCTTTGAGCCTTACTATGGAGGAGACAGGGGGAGCCTTCACCATTCCCTGTGGGTCTGAGGCTAAGTTCCGTGACAAGGCTGTGCCTGTGTCCATAAATTTACTCAGGCCTTCACACACACTCAGGGCTTCCTTTCCACATATTTTTTTTTAAAAGGGCTACTTAATAGAAAGTTAAAGCACATTATATATCACAATAGTACAATAGTAAAAATACCATCTTTTTGATTCTTTAAGAAAAGAATCCTTGAGACAAGGGCTTATAATGTAGCTAAGGCTGTCCTGGAACTCAACTCACCACACAGTTCAG